GATGGTGATGTTGGTGGCTTGCGGGAGGCAGTGGGCTGTTTACGAAGACGGCATCGATGATTATCACCTGTCTCACGTTTTCTGGATGTAAGCCTGAATTTGCCCTGGCTTTGGTTCCCGATGCTGTAGGAGAGGGGGGGCCTTCGTTCATGCTTGGTGTTGGATGTTCCAGGATACATAATATAATAGTAGTAATAATAATCATAATAATGATAATAATTTTGTATTTGGGTCTAGTGCAGCAGGAACGGCAGTGGAAAAGCAACACTAGAAGACGCTCCCCAAGAGCTACAAGCAGGTGTCAACTTCCGTGTGTATATCTACCATCATCCGCTCATATTATCACGTTGAGAATCTTGCCCTTGCCCGAGATGCCGAGGTATCAGCCCACTGCAGAGGCGTGGTTCAAAGCAGCGGAGCAGATGAGCCTGGCAAATTCCGCCTGCACCGTGCCCTTCCTGACCACTTAAAACTGCGGGGTCTCGTGGTTACACTCAGGGCTTCATCTAAGTACATACCTGGAACCTCCTGCGGCAGAAATTTTCGCCGCAATGCATTGCGGCGTTTATTTTTGCCTCATTTGCTTTTTTCTGCCGCAAGCGATTGGGAAACGCCGAAAGATTATTCGAGGCAGCAAAAGAAGAAACGCCGCAACTTATGCGTCTTCGTGCGCTTTTACCCAAACTTGTGGATGAGATTGTAGCAACTACCACACTTCGTCGTCGTCATCATCATCATCATCAGCATCATCATCTTTGTTATCTTTGTCTTCATCAGTCTGCATTCCCATCAACTTCAAAATCTCACATTTGACAACATGAAAACCATGGTGGTATCACGATCACAACTACTATGTGCATCTTCGTCTTTGTCTTCATCAGATTCACCAACATCAACACCAATGACCAGTATCTTCCAAAAAACGTATCATCATCCTCACCCACATCGAAGGATCCAGAAGCTGTCGTGTCCAGCGGGCTTTTTGGTGTAGGCGGGGAGTAGCACAGCAGAACGCTCGAAAGATTAGCCACAAACTTCCAAAGTTTCAGGTACTAGTAGCAAAAACATACGAGGTCCGTTGCTGCTAGCAGCCCCAAACACACGCCTAAAGGAAAACAAAAAGAACAAGCGGCCAATAGCCGCTCCTTCCCGGAGAATGGGTCAGCATATACTGCATCACGCTCTACTGACTCTACTGTTCGGTTCGATTAGGTAGAAGCGGACATGTGTAATCTGCGGAAATTCCCGATATGCCTGCAGTATAACGAATCATAAAAAACATTATAATTTTCGATTTGACTGCGGCGGCTCTCCGCGAAAAATATATCTTCTCTCAGCAAATGGTTGTGAATTGCGACCGCACGGTTTTCCCAGGCATGTATGTTTGATTTCGAGGCTGTTTCTGATTTTAACATGCGGAATTTTGGACGCCTTATAAAAGCCACGGCATGGGAGAGATTTGGTTTCTGTCTCGCATGGCGCTACAAGCCGAGGTTAGCGTGTCTTATCGCGTAAATTTTGCAATATGTGGAAACTGAAAGGCATGTCATCTAAGGAGTCTAATCCAGTACCACAGTAGTGGATTTCAACACGGTTAACAAAGTTTCCTCAACAACCGGCGCAGTAGGACGTAATGCTGTTTATTGGTTCGACTCACTGTGGCTGGAGCACGCCTGAACGACGCGCGTGCCTGCAAGAACGACGTGGTCCGGACATACTGAAGCATAGAATCAAACCTGCCCTCAGAAAAGAACACGAGGGAAGGACGCAGCAGGACCTGAAACTAAAAGCGCTTCATAAAATACAGAAGGAACAACGTTTAAACTGCGGCTTCTGCTTTCCTGGTGACGCAGTGGCCGCAGTGGCCTGTATTTGGGGCACAATGCGGACGTCGCGAAAAATTTCTCTGTTTTCTTCAAGTTTCCAAACAAGGGGTTCGTCTACGTAGTTTCGGGTTGAAGTTTCCGTGTTTAAGGCTTCTGCAGTTTAGGATTGAAGCTGCTAAGGTTTAGGATGCTGGGCATGCCTGCGCATGAGAGTTGAGTACGAACTTGGCCCTTTATTTGTCAAGCATTTGGCGTACACTAGGAAATGCACGAAGTAGGAAGACTTGCGGTTTTTGTCAACAAGTCTTGTCGTCTGAGCAGACATGTTATCTACATCTGCACCTCGCAGTTCAATTTGCGACCACGACATGGCAAACCCACGCCAGATGCTAGCACTGTGCTATACTTTCGGTGCCCAGCACAAGACTATCCCGATGCTGCATGATGCTGCATGGCTTTCAAATCCGGATGCATGGACGAAATTGCAACAAGAAGCTTCTGAAACCCATCGGCACACTTGTTACCGGAAGGGTGTCCGCATCTTTCCGCCGCAATGTCGGGAGTTTCCGCCGCAATGTCGGGAGTTTCCGCCGCAATTTTGGGGCACAAAAACCATCATAAATCGCATCCAAAAGTGTTTTGGAGTCACAATTCTCGCTCACCCAGTGTTCTGGCGACAACACTGGCCCAAAACGAACATGCTGTGCTCTCAGTTCCAACATCCTTCAGACTTGTTTTGGCGAAGGTCGTTCGGCGAAATGATGTGGGGGGGATGCAAGTCTCAACAGAGCTCCTCGTTGCATTTTCGCACGCTCGCACCAAAAACCTGTTGAGACTGAGAACAGACCGTTCTCGTCCTTGGCCAGTGCTGTTGCTAGTAGTAACGAGGAGTGAAGCTTGATTCCCGAACAAAGTCTAGATGTGTTCTTGCGGGTTTTGTGCATCCCGGAATTGCGGCGGAAAACCCCGTCATTGCGGCAGAAACTCCCGACATTGCGGCGGAAAGACGCGGACACCCTTCCACTAACATGTACACAATTGGCCCACCTGCACAAGCATTTTTTGCAACTTCGTCCACCCATCCGGGCTCGAGGGTGTGTTCATGATGCAACACCTGGATAGTCGAGTGCTGGGCATTGGAATTTTGTGCCAGGAGGCTAGCACGTCGCTGCTGATTAACTGGCTGATTCATGACTGCATAAATGTGTTTCTGCATGTTGGCTTCCATGGAGTCGAGGAACCGCTTGCAACTCCAAGTTCCCTCATTAAAACCTGGTTTGAACTCCAAAAAAGAGATAAAAATTCAAACCAGCACAAGCTCCAAACCCAACCTGAAGCGGGAATCACGCCCCCAACCCTAAACGCCATCAGTTAAATCCTATACTAGAGAAACTCGAAAATACAGACTTTATACCCGAAGCTGGTTATTAAGTGTGCCTCCGGAGGAAATGCAGTTGTTCGCAAAGAAGCACAACAATGTCCGTCCCAAATAACTGCCGCAAAGAAAATCCATCATGTCCCTCGGACCGGCTGGTGCTGCAGCTTTAGATAATTATTTCGTCTTTGTCATTGTCTTTCTACTGGGGCAAGCGTTTAGCAATTAGGTCCTGCTGAGACCCGTACTTCCGCATCTTGTCTTAAAGCCAGATCTGGAGCTGCACGTCGGCATGTCTGTACTACGCCTGTTGTTGAAACCACAAGGTGAGCTCGAGCCACACTAGGTCTGCATTAACTGATGAGCGTGCAATTAAGCACCTTGGCCCGATATTTGGCTCATCCCTCATCGCCAGTTCTGCTTACCAAAAACGGCCCAGTTAAAGTTCTCTTGTTTTCAACTTTGAAATTCTCGCATCACATAAATGTTGTTTCCACTTTTTTGCACTTCCGCAATCAACTCGGGGGTGTGGGCTTGGGCTGCACCGAAAGATTTGTAAAATTGACGCCATGCAAGACAGAAGCCAAATCCATCCCGGTCCTTAGACATCCTACATGCTGAAACAACCTCGAAATCAACCACACCGTGCTTCGTAACACTCTATCGTTGCAACGAAGCACGAACAGCATCCACATGGTTTTCAACGAAAATCGTCGCAATGATATGAGGAACATAAACATGAGATAACTGCACTCTTGCACCCGAAAGCAAGTTATAGGCGCAAGTTACAAACTTGGTGTTTCAGTCTGCTAATGTCTGCTATGAACATACCTCGGTTTATGCAGTTTTCATGTCCTTATACAGTCTAAACCGGCCGGCCAGCACCATGTCACTGCGGGAACGTTCGACCATAAGAACATGGAGCTGCGCGCTGGCAGCAAAACCAAAATTCGTTCGTGAAAAACAAAAACGCCGCCGAAATTACAATTCTGCCGCAACTGATGTGCTGTATACTGCTGGATTTAGGTTTCTGCCGTCAGACATGTCTTTCCGCCTCCGATTGCGTTTCGGCGCCGCAACCCTATTGCGGCGGAAATTTTTGCCGCAACGGAGTTTCCAGGTATGCATGCGCGAATATGAATGAACCAATGAATGCATGATTCTCTGTATCTTTGTATCCATTCCTGCATGCGTGTATGAATGGATGTACGGTCCTGTCTGTCTGTGTGTGTGTGTCTGTGTGTGTGCGCGCGCCTGCCTGCATGTATGCATGCCGCATGCATGCGTGTATGAACGAAACCATGTATGGTTCTGCGTAGCGCATGCATGCATGTATGTGCGCATGCAACCCTGAAGCTTTTCTAACTGTAGCCCTACATAAGTGCAGACGGGAGACATGTACATCGTATGTATTTGGGCTATGGTCTGGCCCATGACTGTCCAGTAACTGCCACTCTAGCTGCTCTCGCTGCGGCTTGTGCGCTCTAGTCTCCATGCGCCCGATATACCGCATGAGCCATTATTCAACCATACGCCTCACCCTCATCTTGGTAATTACCGCTGAACCTTCACCGCCCAGTTCAACTCTAAGCCGTAACACCTTCAACCTTAAAACCCTAACGCCTAAGCTCGTGACTCTAAGCCTTAAACGTTTGGGTCACACTACCGCGTCAAAGACCTAGATGAATGTGTATGCTCAGGTTAAAAGTACAACAGAAGGGAATCCAGTGGCATAATAGTACTTCTCGTGAGCAGGGCCTTTGTGAGTGCATATGCGAGTCAAGCTAGGCAACCAGGCCATGCCTCCGCCTCTGGCCGCCAGGGATGCACAGGTCCCCCTTGATGGAAACTTCGATCCGTCTGGATGACGAAAGAACATGCGATCTTCAGTAGTCGCCCTTAGCACTCGACACGGAACATGTTTATCATCTGGTTCGTGGAGCAAAATCGCCTACTCGATTCAGTCCCCCATCCTACCGGCCAGGATGAACAGTGCCGACAAGTATGGTACAGGTGTCTGACAATCCGTAAACTTATTCCTCAGTCATGTAGACCACGTAGTAAAAGCACTTCTCAGCCTGACTATTCAGACCCTGATGTTGGAAAACATGGGGCAGAGACTGGTTTCGAGGTTTAGGGTTTAGGATGGTTCCCGGATAGAGACCGTAGGCCCCAAACCCTACCACAAATCGAAGCTCTAGCATCCGAGGTGACCATCATTCTCTACCCCTTGGCCGATCAGATGCAGATACTATAGGGGCCTGAATTCTTGGAATAGGGTTTTGGGGTCCATTATGCCATACTTCTAATAATGAACCCGCAAAATAGCACTGTAAGGCCCCTATAGTAACACTCCATAAGCCGCAAACATCCTTTCATGGGAGCACAGGACCTTTTAGAAAAGGTACAGTCGTAAAACATGTTGCAAGGCAATAGGTCTCCAGAGCCTGCCTAGTGTTCGTTGTTCTGCTCACCTTGGAGACCATACATCAGCTCGTGCTGCAACAAATCAAAGGATTGGAGGCTTAGGACTTCGATTAAGACCAGGGTTTAGGGTCTAGGGTCTAGGCACTAGACGATGCAAAAAAACCCTGGGCGGAGCACGGGGTGGGGCCGACCTCCCAGCTGAACAGGATTCAACCTGGGACGCAATCACTATCTTTCACCCCTAAGCCTTGAACTTTTTCACTCCAGCACCAAACACGAGCCGGAACGATGAATGTGCCAACCCCGCCAGCGCAAATTCCCTTTACCCGACACCTACAGAAAGCCTTTGCGCCTTACAAGCCTTGAGTCTGCTTGCTGGTGTAGACATTCCAGAGGCTTCAAGGAAGTCTTTCACAAGCAGCGAACTCTCACGGAAACCATGTTCTGAAACCCGGAGCCTCTTAAGAGTTACTACAGGGGCCTCAATAATCAATTCCCAATACCATATTTTGGGGTTTCTCATTATAAGTCTAAGTTATAGAAAGGGCTTCAAAACCCTACTGTAATTATTAAGGCCCCTGTAGTAGTTGTTGTTTCGTCTGTCTTCCTCGGCATGCTCAACTCTGATCGCTTCAAACCCCTGAACCCAGATCTCAGGACCCTGCCCAGAGAACCCAATATCTCTTAATCAAGGAATATAGCCTAAATCATAATACGCAGCCCGCCATAATTGAAGGCATGTTCCTTACTAAAGGGGGTATGGGGCTCTCTGGGAGGTCATCATAAACCCCTAACCCAGATCTCTGGTCATCTTAAATTCCGAGCCCCAAAACTCCTAAGCCAAGCCTGGACCCCAAAGAGCCTACCGTTTTAAGGACCCTATGTATAAGGAAGTCATAATAAGGAACCCTAAAAAGGAAGGTCTTATAGGGTCCAGGTGAATCAAAAACCCCAAACTCTTAAGCCCTGAATCCTTATATACATATATACTATAAAATGTTATAACATATGATATATTATATATACTATAAACTTTTTATAATACATAATACAATATAATGTAATTTATAAATATATATATATATATAACATAATATCTACCCCAAACTCCGAAGCCCCAATTTCCCCGATCTCAGGTCATCATGCTTCGCCTCTTTAAGTCCTTCCAGGCACAGCCCCGCTTGGCCATCGTGACGGACTGCAAGGGCTTAGGGTTTAGGGTTTGGGGTTTAGGGGTTTAGGGTTTAGTATTTAGGGTTTGGGGTTTAGGGGTTTAGGGTTTTGGGTTTAGGGTTTAGGGTTTGGGGTTAGGGGTTTAGGGTTTAGTGTTTAGGAATCACTGGGTTGTGCTTTGGGATAAATTTTGATTACCTTCATTTCCTTATAAGGGGAACCTATTCATGAATACTTTTCAAAGGGTTTAAAGCACAACCCAGTTCAGGGTTCAGGGTCTGAAGTTTGGGTTCGATTCGGGGTTTACACAGGTTGTAGTTATCTCCCCGTACAGCCTCGAGGTTTGGGGTTTAGGCTTTAGGCTTTGCGACGAGCTTCAAGGACTCCGAACCCCAGATCACGGCGCCATATGACAGCTTCTTAGACTACAGGTGAAAAAAGGGGTTGGATCCTACTGCGACGGGTTGGATCCTACTGTGAAGGGTTATTTCGGGCATATCTCACAGGGTTTGCGTCTTTTCTCAAACTCCCCTAAACCCCAAACCCTGACACCCTTAAACACTAAACCCCTAACCCCTAAACCCAACACCTCTAAGCTCTTCCCGAGGAGACAATAAAGACGGCGATTCCCGAGCTGGCGCACTTCTTCATCGTGGCCCTCTGCATGTTCGGCTGCCTCTTCGCCACTCAGAGCCGGTTTAGGGTTCTAAGGCTTTTTCTGGGTTTAAGGTTTAGGGTTTAAGGGGTTTCGAGGGTTTAAGGCCTGGGGCTGAGGGTTTAGGGCCTAGGGGTTTAGGGCTTAGGGTTTGGGGTTTAGGGAGTTGTAAGCTGTCTGTTTCCGACTTCCACGAACATATGCTGTCAGGGTGGTGTCGCGCACTACAGGATTCACATGCTTCCCTTCCTCGCATGTGCAGGATTCAACTCAACATGTCTTGGAAGTCCCAGCCCGGATGCATCCGTACATGCTTCATGCATAGGGACACACACTTGCTGTTTGCCTGCCTGTCTGTTTGTCTCAGTCTCAGTGCTCTCCCTCTCTCTCTCTCTCTCTCTCTCTCGCTCGCTATCTCTCCCTGTCTCTCTCTCTCTCTCTCTCTCTCTCTCTCGCTGGCTATCTCTCCCTGTCTCTCTCTCTCTCTCTCTCTCTCTCTCGCTGGCTATCTCTCCCTGTGTCTCTCTCTCTCTCTCTCTCTCTCTCTGTCTCTCTCTCTCTCTCTCTCTCTCTCTCTCTCTACCTGTGTATTTACATATCACGTATCATATTCATAGAGACAGAGAGATGAGAGAGAGAGAGAGAGAGAGAGAGAGAGAGAGAGAGAGAGAGAAAGAGCCACATGGTCGCACATGCACGAGCGTTCAAACACAAACACACACACACACACAAGAACATGCTTGATTCATGCATCTACACAGCTGCCTTTGGTGTCTAGAGCTGCGCGTCTGTGTTTTGAAGTTTGGGTGCATCATGAGAAGGGCGACAGTCTTCTAGCAATAATCTCAAGGCAACAAATACCGTGGACACTTAGGGTAGGCACGATCGCGACAACTACGGATTAGTGGTACAAATAGCCAATAAGAGAAAACACTTTCGACCACACTAGTAGCAAAAATAGCAGCAACAACAACAAGCGCAGAAACAACTTCAGTGTTGTGGACGCAGGGGGTTAAGCTGCAATCCAGCCATGCCAGCCGAGCGCGAGTGTGTGAGTCGAAACCGTTCAAAGCCGCCGACTCTTGTACCCAGAAAGCCCAATACCTTCAGATCAAGGAATACACCTTAATTAATCTACAGGAGGCAGGTATACCCCGTAAGTAAGCAGGTTGGATCTTAAGGCTGTTGAGTTCGGAAGCTCTGGTGGTAAGTTTCGGTGTGTCCACGAACAAACGATTCCAATAAGCTTGAAGTTCTCTCTTGAAGGACCCATCATAGCATAACATGGCCAAACATCAGACCTTGACCACTAGTTCCATCGTACCTTTGAGATACCCTCAAAGAACATTCCGGCTTTTTGACTTGTGTGTCTTGAGAGCAAAATGCACACCCCATCGAAGCCCAGACCCCGAGGTGAACAGCATTGTCTTCTTCGGTCAAGACTTGGAAGCCTTCAGTTTCTCGGCAGGGACCACAGGAGTTTTTTGAGGGCACTGTAGGGTTCATGTAGGCTTAAGGATTGATGGGGCTTCTCCAGGTTCAAAAAGGTTTCGTAGGCTTTTCAGGGTCTTGCACTGTTGGAAGGCAATGCAATACCGGATAATCCTTCGCACAGAAACTATTGCCACCCCAAGCCCCCCGAGCCTTCATACTTCAGCCCTTGATATAGAACCCCTTACCCTAGGGATCAAAGTAGACCAAAAGCCTTATATAGTATCTGGGTTTGGTTTCAGTGCTTTTTATCGGGTTTCAACGTTAATGGCTCCAAAGCAGGAGCAGCAGCAAGTAAGCATCACGAGCCCGATCCAAAGGCCTCCGTAACTTCAAAAACTCCTTATGCACAGACGCAGGCCCCAGGATCGACCCTTCTGTATGGTTTTGGGGCCCAAAAGCCTTAATTTCTGAGTCCTTAGATCCCTACACCCTATAGATCCCTTTAAAGGATTTAAAGGACCCCTTACAGTTCCCTTTAAAAGAACCCTATATGAGTCCTTAGATCCCTAGGGTTATAGATAAGGGAACCTCGAGTAGACGATCCATGAAATCCTTATCAGCGATACTGGGAGGTGGCTTTCGTTTAGGGGTTCTGGTTTAGGGGTGGTGTTTTGGGCTTGTGAGTTGGGTTTCGGGTTTAGGCGGTTTAGGGTTTTGGCGGTGGTGTTTTGGGCTTGTGTGTTGTGTGGCTTGAGAAAAGACTTTCTTTGGCACGCGTGATGATTGTTGACGTTCTGTAAGGGTGTTTGACGGCTTGATCTACGAATCTACAACGTTTCCGAGGCAACGCAGGATAAGGGTTCATCGTCACTTACTCACATATTAGTATATCGAGGCTCCAAGAGAAGTTGGCTCCTGTCAGAACCTAGTTTGAAGAAGCCCCGATCTACTTGTCGGCTTACTTTGTTGTCTATGCATGTTCCCCATGCGCATGCCTTCTGCATATTCGCCCGTTGGCCTTCGTGGAATGATGTGTTTAAGCACATATGAGCCGTGTACTCGGGAGTACATGCATTAAACTAGCAAATCGCATTCAACAGACACACATGCATATGCATGCCTTATGATATTTTGCGGGCAGCTTTGGTTGCATATGCATGTGCGGTGGGGTGTATGATGGTATCTGCTTGGGCATTGAGCATTTGCTCAGACTGCGAAAGATTGAGTGACACTGATGTCAGGCACAATTCCACGAGCGTTTCACTGGTGCCTCGCGGCTGTGCATCCGGGCATGAATTGGGTTTTCGGTTTGACAGCTTGGGCTTTAAGCATTTACTGTTGAGGCTTTGGGTCAGACATGCCCTCAGCACCATTACAGGCATGTTCCTGCTTGTGGGATTTCAGGGATGGCTGCCACAGACTGTAGGACTCCGACCATAGCCGACCACCTGGTGCCAGACAGTCGAACTTGCGAAATATAGCGGTTTTAGGCTGTGCGCCTTAGCCTGTTCGCTTCTCCGACTGTCTGCGATTTTTAAATGTGGAAACACCGGCCCTGAAAGCCACTGCTTCTTGCTGACGCACCTCAGACCCAAGACTCAACAATGAACTGCAGGATGTCGTCGTAGTCAGCACGGCAACTTTTTAGCCTTGAGCCCCATAACCCGTATAAGCTCTGCAAAGCCCGTTCTTGCTGAAGCCGGGGATTGCGTCGGATTACCTGAACTCCAACATGGAATGCTCCCCAAACCGCAAACCCGTAAACTCCTATTCTGGCACAATCCTTGACCCATGAAGCTTCTGTGTCGGACGAAGGGTCTTTGCACCTGCTCTCCAGGCATCCTACACCCTGCACCCGAGCCGGAACATGGGACCTTAACCTCACCTGGTGAGCTTCCTCCTACACAGTAGCTGTCGTGGTCAGAAATGAAATGAACCCTAAGCCTTGCGCCCTAAATCCTAGACCCGACCCTATGCTCAGGTTGGGCCACTTCGATTGGCGGTCGCTCAAGGCCCTAGTCAAGTATACTGCAATTTCCCAGGGCGGTGGAATACATGGCAGGAGGTGATGCTGTTGCTTGGGGTTTGTGGGTTTACGGTGCTGAGAGCATATAAGGCATGGGATATGGGAGAAGTGTTCAGGTGTTGCGATTCCGTTCTAGTAGGAGCCGTCATCATATCCCTGCTTGAGAAAGCTGACCTCATAGACTTGATGTCGCAAGAAGGTGCGGAGTTTGACGTTTGCAGCAGTAGGCTGCTTCATGCGTCGGCATCAGGGTGTTGAGACGCTCCGTCTGCTTTGTGCGTAGGAAGTCGGCTACGTGAACGCCGCATCATGGCTTTGGATCTTCAGCATTGCCCCTTGGATGTCGAAATGTGCTGTTGCCTGTGGGGTTCTAGAAGCTGGGGTCGAAGTCTTTGTGATCACCTTCGCCTTCGGTTCTTGTAGGCCTGTAAGCCAGCCCACAGGATGGTGTGGCATCGGGAATCGCAGGTTTGCCTTTGGTGTTCTTCCGCGACTCTAGGCATTGCAGACCAACTTTGAATGTGGATTCCTCTTGTCACTCCTCTTTCAGGGCTCTTGAGAGCAATTCGACATGGCTAGTTCACCAACTTTGACGCCCCTGCAAGCAGATCCCCAGCGCGAGACCCCGACTTGGGCAACTACTTTACAAGGGAATTTCCGACAATACGGGTATCTTATTTTGGGGTCCTCATAATGAGGATCTTACTTTTTTCGGTACCTTATTAGGGTCCCCTATTTTCGAAAACTCCCACAACCTCTCAGGTTATAACTCCTGCTTTCGAGCTGCCCTGAGTATACGAGAAGGTGATGAATCGAATGAATCGAACCAGCAAGTAGGCTTTCCGATCATATTGCTTGAATGCTTGGAGGCTTCTATCAACTGAGCTGGCATTCCGAAGTCCTCAAACCTAGTCAATGGAGTTTCCGAAATGGGATGCTTGTTAGAGCGACCTGTATTTATCTGCCTTAAGATTTGCAGTCCTGACTGTATCAGTCGGAGAAACTTCTGAGCATTCTGTGAAGAAGCTGATTATTGCTAGACCCTTTAAACCCTAAACCCTAAACCCTATGCTAGACCTCGCAGCCGCTGCAAATTCAAGTCAAACCCAAACCCTAGGTCATGTCGCTCATCTCGCTGAACATGCTCTTGGCCATCGTCCTGGATTCCTACTCCCTAGAGAAGGCGAGGGCTCCATTGTGGTGAAGTCTTGATGGTATTTAGAGGTTGAGGGTTTAGGGTTTAGGGATTTAGGATTTAGAGTTTTCGGATTTGGGGTTTTTGGGTATAGGTGTACAGACGTACCTTCGAGCCAAAGACTCTTTAGTTGAGGAATACACTTGAAATCATTTCATTCAGGAACCATCTATAATCGCAAGTGTTTCCCTTGTATCAGAGGTGTTCGGCTCTTTGTGTCAAAGCCCTCTCCAGCCCTCCACCCTTCAGGGATTCAAGACCTTACCTCATGCCCCAGACTGTCTCCAGAAGCCCCCAGGTTTCTTGCAAGTTTCGGAAGCCTCGAATCCCAAGTTGGCCCCCCAGGACTTAAGGCTTTTAACCCCAGCTGCTCCACCGCCCTGCTTAAAGGGCCGTATCTGTGTTGCAGTTTTTTGGGAAGGTAACGACCTTTCGCCTCCAGTCCTTGGCTCCAAAGCATTTACGTCCTGGACATCCTAAGCTCAAAAAACTGCCAGCAGGTGCGTGCAGTATCCATGAATGCCAGGCCTCCACGCCCTTGAACAAAGTCTATAAGGCACCAAAAGAATGTTGATCAGTATCAACAACATTAACAAGTACAACAACGACTTGCAGCATCATGGCCATTGTACTGCCCACAGAAACTCTTTGAGAAAGCAAAACTTCAAACACTAAATATCATATGAAACCCTGGCAGCCGTATGCGAACACCTAGAGACAAATCTGCTTGTCCCGCAAGGTCGCAACATAGGCCAAGTACCCATAGCAGATACAGCAACAATACTTCTTATACTAAATGCATCATCCAGGGTTAGTTGAAACCACTGCACCCCAAACACTAACCAACGTAGCTTCAACAACCCTAAAACCCTACAGCAACCTTAAAAACAATAGTTCGAACAACCCTTAAACCCTAAACTCTAAACTTTAGAGTTAGAACAAACATAAGGGCAGACATGTAGATGAGGGTCCCTTGAAGGTCACCCAAACAAACTACGGCACCAAAAAAGGGATCCTAATTTAAAGAACTACCCATAGATCAAACAACAATTCTTCGAGGAGAAGGCTTCTGAGTTGAAGACGCTTCTGGAACAGCTCGGGGAGGTGGCCCCTTGGCCGCAGCTCTCCGCGGATGTTCGGTGGTGGGTAGGGGATTTCGGTTTTTTGGGAGTTACTTGACACTTAACTGATTTTCCGCTGGTTTGGGTTTAAATTTTGGTTGCACATGTGTGTGTGTGTCGTTTCGTTTGAAGTGGTTTGAGGCTGGCTTTTGCAATGCTTTTTTCTGTGGTCTAGGCTACCTCTAGGGGTTTGAAGTCTGAGGCCTCGGTGTGTTCGGACTTGAGCCTGTAGTGCCTTTATGGGGCCTGTTTAAGGTTTCCCGGCTCCGTAGTAGCCTCATCATCATCTGATGGCCTGGTCGATATCAGCCTGACCACTGTTTGTATTGCAGTTTTGGGACTTTCCGTGCTAGGCTCTCCACGACTTTTCATTCTCTCAGGGCATTTTGCGTATTGCATTGTCGACCCCAGCGCCGTAAAAAAAAAACAAAATCAAGCCCCTACATAATTGAATCCTTCTAGTAACCCTTTTCGAAGCCCCTAAACCCTAAACCCTTAGGGAAGTTAGTGCCTGCAGGCTTGGAGGCCCAGGGACTTAGAAAGCCGGTTGTGAGCAGGGTGGTATTTTGTAGTAATTCCATTTATTACAGTATACTTACTAAGCCTAAGCTTCAAAATTACCCTAGCCCTACTCCACCTTATAGAACCTTTCTACTTTTAAGGAACCTACTTCCTTCCTATAGTCTCCATTGTAGTTCCTTTCTTTGGTTTCCCCAATTCTATATTAAGGATCCTAAAAGGTAACCCCAAAAAGGAACTACAATGGAGACTATAGGTAAGCCCCCTAGGCCCTAGGCTTCTAAGCAGGGCTCCTCTCAGAAGTGAGCCCAGGTTCGAAGGCGACAAGAACGGCGCCGGGGTCAGCGGGTGAACCTCCAGGAGCGGCCGCAGCGGCCGTCTTGTCTGCTTTAGGGTAGGGTAGGGTAGGGTACCCGTAGGGTAGGGTAGGGTAGTAGTAGTAGTAGTAGTAGTAGTAGTAGGGTAGGGTAGGGTAGGGTAGGGAGGGGCATATGAGGTTATAGAGCAGGGATTGGGGGAGAGAGGGTTTAGAGGCTTCAGGTTTAGAGGTTTAGGGTTTGGGCGTTTCGGGGTTAGGGTCTAGGGGTTCAGGGGTCATCAAGGTCTAAGGGCATGAACGCCCTCTTCGGATTTTGTGGTTTGGCATTTTTCTTGTTGTCGGTTTAACATTCGGGATTGCACAGCCTTCGGTGCACAGTGCAAGTTTCAGGTTCACTAGCAGTGTTGGGTCAAGGTCCAAGGTGCTACGGTGGATGGTATAAATCCTGCATTACCTCAATGACCCCAAACTATGGGAATTTTGGTATATTCCGGATTTATATCATCAAACCCTAAACCCTAAACCCTAAACCCATGGGTCATGCAGGGTTTATATCATCAACCGTAGCCTTTGCGACTGTGGTCTGGCAGCACACTCAACCCGAAGTTCTGACCCATGTACCCAGAGCCTCCAAAACCCCCTTAATTAAGGGGGATATATACCTTAAATGATAGTAGGGATATATACCTTAAATGATAGTAGGGATATATATACCTTAAAGTATAGTAGGGTTCCTAAATCAATATGATTTAAGGTCTATTCCTTAATTAAGGGGCTTTTGGGAGGCCCCCCCCCCCGAAACCCTGGGCCTGAAATCCCAAGCATGGCTGCAGTTTCCCAGACCCCCGGGAGGATCCAAAAAGTAGATCCCTTAATGGGGGGGTTCCTATAAAGTGCCCTTAGTAGTATAGGGACCCAAATTAGGGGATCTACTTTCTAGATCCTCCCGGGGGTCTGGGTTGCTGCAGAGTCGAAGGAGATTTGGAACGCGTTCTTGGCAGAGTTCAACTACGACGCCTCCTGTCCAGTACGGATCTTCAGCTGGGATAAGCGGAGCTAAGTTTAAGTTTTCAGGACAAAGAAAGCATATCAACAGTATGCCTAAAGCACTAGGAAGCTTTGAAGAAGCCGAGGAAGCCAGCAGGTTTTCGGGTGCCAAGGCTTGTTGGTCCACCGGAAATCAGGAGCTGTAGACCCCCGAGTCGATGAGCCCAAACCAGCCTTCACATGTGGGAGTTTCCGAAAATTAGGGGGGTACCTTATTTTGGGGTCCGTATAATAAGGATCATACTATTACTAAATCAGAGTCCCCTAGGTTGTCAAAATTATGGTCCCTTTTTGGGTCCCTAGTTTAGTACGGCACCTAGTATTAGTTAGTGAATACCATTTCCATTTTCTAACCATGCCCACCCCCCTACGCCCCCGAATACCCAAAACCATAAGAACCTATACCTCAACCCTAACCCCACCGAATGACCCACACCAAGAGCCCTAGGATGGAACCACCAAAAGACCCACATAGAAAAATGGCATACTCAACCCCATAGATATATACCCCCATAGAAAACCCGATCGTATCAACCCGAAATCCCTAACCCTAGACAATGGAACTGGTATTCTTAAGTAAATTATCTATAGTAGGAATAAGGTTTAGGATGCAGGTCGTGTGGACTAGAAGGATACTAGTAGCACAGCATGAACTACTTGTCTAGAATAGCAGGCTGCATCAGTTGTAGGTGTTGGAACCTTTGTAAAATTCCCTCCAGCATTGCACATGCCGCGTTGAGGAAGCCGTCACTAACCCTGCGATACAATCGAATCGGGCGTTTATGTTTGTTTTAGATGTTAGAGCTTCTAACGCTTAGCATTTCGCAGGTAGGGGTTCATAGTTCATAAATTTTAGGCCTCAGGCTTCAAGAGGCTTTGGTTGGTTTCTTCATATCATACCGTAGCCTTAAACCAACCATAGACCATAGAGCCCTACTCCACGATGAGGTTAAGTCCATGATGGTCAACCGCACGTTGATCACGCCGGACTCGCTGATGAGCCTCGGCAGCTGGCGGCGTCGATCCAGAGAAAAGATACATGTGGTTCCCTTCTATAGGCTAGGATACAGATGTGTTGCGTTTCGGAAGTTGCTGAGGATACAGATGTGTTGCGCTTCGGCCGTTGCTGTTGCCATGGTCATACACAAGCTGCCCTTAGGCGAAGCGTGGGGCTCTGCACAGGGAAGGCTTTGTCACACAGCTTAAACACCTGAAAGCCGGAGCCATGTCACAGAAACTTTGCGCTCCCCGGTAAGTCCATGGTCGTGCAGTTCCATATTATGACTGACGCACAGCTTGCGCCCAACACAGCCAGCTAGCTTTGAGTAGGTCCCCTTCCATGGGCACTCTTTCACCGAAGGAACGCAGTGCCTCAAATCCCTGCTCAACAGGCGCCTTGACTTGCTGAGCTTTGGGTTGCTTGGGGATCATGTTTTGCATACAAGTACATGTATGCATGTGTTTTCTGCCCCAAACGGCTCGGTTTGCGCTCACTTCGTTCGTGTGTGTGTGTGTGTATCTGTATGTATATATATATATATACACATACATATATTCATGCGCACACGTTGTATTCACATACATGCATGCGTGCATGCATACATATGCATACATGCCATTATTTGTCCGGGGTGTCACGGCCGTGTATCCCCCGAAAAGTCGCCGTATCACAGACTTATCAATTTTGGGAGTTTTGAAACACAGACCACGTTTGGGCCGCGAAATCTTTGAAACCCGCCAGTACACGGGGGGAACGCATTTTGACCGTGCTCTTGAATCCCGCAAGTGCATGAGGGCATCTGAGGGAAGTGATTCTATTTTAGAAGCTGCCCCCACCCTGTAATCGTGGCTATAAGGATTATATTAGGGCCCTATTAATATTCCTATTATACCACTATTACAGGGTGGGGGCCCCTTCTAAATTCTATTGCCATTGCATGAGTACCCCTAAGGGTCCAAGTACCTTATAATCATATACTCTCCCAAAAATTAACCTAAAAAACTACTATCCGGAACCAAAGTACCTTATAATCGGTTTAGGGTTTAGGGTACCGTAATAATTAGCATAGGGCTCCTTAGAGGGCTTCGTTAAAGGGGTCTATAATTGGGTGCTTTGGACCCTTAGAGTACATTTTATGATTTAACGGGCTTGGACCTGCCTCGGAGCTCGGACGCCCTCTCTGAAAGGGGGAAAAGGAGGGACCCTTAATGGGGACCCCTACCCGATAATGGGCTATATAATGGGTAATTATATAAATATAATAGCTACATTACGGGTATATACCTAGGGTCCTTGTTAAGGTTCCCTCCTTTTACCGTTGGACTCTCAAACTGATAGCTTGCAGGACATAGGCGGGGCTGACGTCGAACCCCCGAACTAGAAATAGACATCTGATGTTCAAATGCATCTGCGGGTTTAGGGTTTAGGGTTTAGGGGCCTGTCGTCCCCAAGCTCCCCATTGAAGTTTGCAGCGAAGGAAACGAAATCCCCGAAACCATTGAAAACCCTAAGCTTTTATGCGCCTGAAAGGTTAGGGTTTAGGGTTCTTTATGCACCTGTAAGCCTGGCTCTACACCCCGGCTCTACCTTCAGGCTCTGCGAACTCTGGCACATGCTCTTCAACGACAGGACTGCAGCACCAAAGGATTTTCCTGTCAGGTTTTTTGTTGAGGGTTCGATAAGGGCTCTATAAGGCTGAATGATTGTCTTGAGGGCTTTTAGCGGCTTCGGGGTTTAGGATTAAGAATGCATTAGGCTTTCAGAATTTAGGTATACACTGGGGCAAGGCCTGGGGGTATCTTCGGCTTCAGGATTTTCGGGGTAGGTTCAGCGGGACGTCTACTTGTTAGACCTTTTTGTAAATTGCTCGGAGCTCATCGTTCAACTTCTGCACGCCGAAACATTTGTCATCAGAATTTCTTCGCACACATAAACTGCTGTAGATTGAACCTTCCGTGCTGTACTTGCCCAATTCTTTATAGGATCCTTAAGGGAGGGTGGTTCAAGGGGGGAGGGTATAAGGACTCCTTAGGGGACTGTAAGGGAACCTTAGGGAGTACTAGGGAGAATTAGGGATCACTAGGCTATATACCCCCCTTGGACCCCCCTCCTTTAAGGATACTCAAAATTCTTGTGTTTACTTTACAGAGCTCAGGAGCGCTTGGAGATTGGGCATCTGACAGAGGAGGCGCGCGCGCTTGAGACGACGAAGCAAGCAGGGTAAAGGGAACTCCAAAACGGAAAGACCCCATGCATCACTAAATCCGGAGGACCTAAGAATCCAAAACCCCTACAGGGAACTCCAGGAAGTTGGAATATGGATTAATGGTAGGATCCCCTATAATTTACCTTAAAGGGGTTACGGTAATGATATTCCAACTTTCTGGCTTCTACTGTAGGGCAGGAGAGCTATGCAGGCACAGTGGACGTTTTCCTGGAAACACTTATATGTGGTTGCAAGGGTAAAGTAAGAAGTTACGCACTTCAATGTTTCAGATGTTAACCTAAACGAAGGGCATAAGCTCAGACTTTAAAGCCTAGACTGTAGAAAACAGAATGGGCCCAAGCTGGTGTGGATGGTTACTTGCAGGTTCCCATGCCTTTGGTACCTGCTTCGAAGGAATAGAGGTTCTTTGCGGATTCGAAAGCTGCAGGATAGGAGGGGTATGAATATCCATTATTGATATCCCTCTGTGGCCTCTTTATACAGATCTCTTCTGATATGCCCCAGGAGACTCCCCTGACTGTTCAGGCCTCTGCAGCAGGGACTCGAGTCCAGGGGTTGGGGATGAAATCTGAGGTTCCAGGCCTTGCTTGGAAGGCAAGGCACAGCGAGGAAACGGTTCAGCGCTGTGGGGAACTCTTACACTGGTACGCAACGGAGGAAGGGCGGAAAGAAAAGGAACAGCGCCGAGACAGAGAGAGAGAGAGAGAGCGAGACACAGAGGTGGAGGTACCGAAAGCCAAGTCAGAGATTGCGAGAGACAGAGAAACCCTAAAGCCCGTTTCACAAACTTTGAGCGTGTGAGATTGCTAGAGCCTTAAGCGGTTGAAACGCCAAGAACCTTAAACTCAAAACCCGACTTAGAGATCACAGCGCTCTTATTCTGCAGCAGGAACTGAAGCGGGAACTGCTCCTCGGCGGAAGTTCAGGTGCAAGTCGAGGTCTGTGTCAAGCACATGAGCTTTATGTTGGGGTCCAATTGCCGCCTGCACAATGAGTAATACTTGTCCTGAGAGTCCCCAAATGCTAGCTAGTTTATTGTGTAGAACCCCCGAACCCGTGGTATAGTTAGTCAGCCGATTATGAACAGGAGGGACAGGCCCAGCAGAAAAGCGGGGCGATCAAAACAGGGATTCAAAAGCACAACGGTCTCTTGAGTGCCACTGTCTTCTGAGGCCGCTATAGGCAAGGTTGGTTCAGTATGAGCGTGGACTGCAGCAAAACCAGCCGACCATCCCCAAACCCTAAACCTCACCTAAACCCCGACTACATTGGCATGCAAATCCTGAAACCTTGCAGTTTGCGTGTGAGGGATGCTTTTCCCACGTGTTCCTAAGGCAGAGCTTCCCTGGGGTTCAGGGCTTAGGATGGCGTAGGATAGCTGGGACCAACGCGCGTTGAAGAAGCCTCAGATGCGGCAAAGACGATCCCCTTACACGCCCAAACAAAGGACGGCCCACTTCAGGGTTCAAAGCTTAGGGTTTAGGCTTCTGTAAGGTCCTAAGCGCAGGTTCCGGAATCCAAGCCCAGCTAGGATGTCCCGGAGCCGGTACAGGCCCTGCTACAGGGAACTCCAGAAAGTTGGAATATGGATTAATGGTAGGATCCCCTATAATTTACCTTAAAGGGGTTACGATAAATGATATTCCAACTTTCTGGCTTCTACTGCAGGATTTCGGGGTCAAGTTTTGGCTGTTGAGTAGTAGAGTTTCGGGTGGGAAGAGACTACAGAACTACAGAAGTTTGAATAACTAACCATCAATACTCTTCCCTAGCGTTCCTTCTTTCAAACATTGTGTTTTCGACCCCCCCACCCCCCAAGAGCGTTCTTCTACTTACAGTAGAAGCCAGAAAGTTGGAATATCATTATCGTAACCTCTTTGAGGTAAACTATAGGGGATCCTACCATTAATCCATATTCCAACTTTCTGGAGTTCCCTGTATGAAAGCCCGTAGGGCCGCTGTATTTCTCAGGCATAAGAACCTGGAGGACATGCAGGAGAAGGTCACGGATGTCTGCCGTGATGCCGCGCGTCCTTGGAACAAGGGAACTCTCCCAGCCCTTCCTTTCGAGTGTTTTGGGTTTGACATGGTTATGGGATTATGGGATTACGGGGTTTAGGGTTTGGGGCCTGATAGGGTGATGGGATTAACTATAGGATTGACGGCTCAGGGCCTTATGAGGTTATACGGTTATGAGCATATGTGGTTTCGGGCCTTGTCAGGCTATCGGAATATTTCGGTTGTAGTTTTAAGGGGTTATGGGAGTATAGGATGTAGGTTGTAGGGCCTTATAGGGTTAGGGTTATGGGATTATGGAGTTTAGGGCCTTGTGGGGTTCTGGTATTATAGACTGTTGGGTTCAGACCTTATAGGGTGTTGGGATTGTTGGTCTTGTGGTTTAGGGCAGTATAGGCAGTATAGGTTTATTATGGGATTATATTCAGGGTTTAGGACCTTATAAGGTCACAGGGCTAAGGTTGTTACCTATAGGGCAATGGGGTTCAGGGTTTAGGGCTCGCTGTAGGCTTACAGGGTTTAGGGCTGTAGGGTCATAGTAATCGTAAGTTTTCGGCCATTTGTTGATGTGGTTGCTCTATGGAGGCATTTCCCGGCTTCGGGTTCACGGTTCAGTTTCATCAGGGACCATCTCAGCTCGTAGTGGATGGCCGCACACGCATTCAGAGGTCCGTTCCAGATTCGAAACTACAGACCACCGGTTGATGTCCTCCTCCCGCTTGAACTTTTTTCGTTCCATTATTTCCAGAGATTCTGATAATGCTCGATGCTTTCTCAAGTGGCGTGGAGGAAAAGACCCTGTGTTTGTTGTTTTCCGGATTCTTGTGGTTTGGCTTGGAGGTTTGGCAAGGAATTAGGCTCGATCCTATAGTGGTACGAGCTTTGGAGTTAGAAAAACCGGGTCTGAATATAGCAGCTAGTTGTAGTATTCCTTCGCTTGCGCTCGGTATGTTTCGAGTATCAAGCCACCACGAATTCTAGAAATGACTCGGGCTTGTTTGATGGACTTTGGATGCTTTTCCATACTGTTGATGGACAAAATCCTGCATTACCCCAAGGACCCTAAACTATGGGAATTATGGTATTTTCCTTCTTATGGGTAATTATAATGCAGGATTTGGTCCATCAGCCGTAGGATCCTGATGAGGAGATTTTGCTCTTACCGAAGCAACGTAGCATCCTAAACCCCAAAAGAGTTACCCCTGTAGTGACCCTTATAATACCACTTATCGTATTTCGGATAACACCTCGAAGCAACCCTGTAAACTCACTCAGAACGTCGATTCCCAGGTTGAGCAGGTCGTGGAGAAGCTTGATTACTTTGAAAGGCACCCGATTTGCTCTGTAGCCTCGGCCTATAAGCCCTGGATAAGACGTAGGGTGTTTAGGAGCTTGTGATGCTGAGGCTCAAGAATAGCTTCGGCGCCTCAACTAGAAGGGTTCTTGGGGGCCCCAAATCCTTCAATTTCTTCCATCACCTACTTCTGGATGCTGTTCATGACTGCAGGCTTCCCCGTATTGCGTTTTCTTCGTGCAGCGTAGCTCAAAAGTTCACGGAGGTCCAAACATACAAAGCATCCATGAGTGATCCGGCTGGGAAGCGCCGACACACCCAGCAGCGGATCCAAAGTCTCATCGAACACGAGGCCCCGAAACAGCTTAAGCATATCATTTATCCATTCATCTACGTATTACAAAACCCAGAACCCAACCTTGAACCCCAAACCCTACACGCTAAACGCCACGAAACTCCAGCGTTTAGCTGCCCCCTACAAAACCCTGTACTCTAAACATCACTAAACACATACTTAGAGCGAAATCCAGAACGTGAAACTCCAGACGGCACTAGACTCTTGCATCCAGCTTCTTACTGCAAGTTATATACACAAAGGCTCAGGGTTTTCGAAAGTCCCAGAGGCTGCAAGCACCGGGCGATGCCACCTATGACTTCTACTTTAGCCACGAGCATGCTTCGCAGGATCCCGGGGTGTGGGGGTTACAGTTTTAGAGATTATAAGGGCTTTAGGGTTCAGGGTTCGGACTGTTTGAGGTTTCGGGAACAGGGCGCAAGGTTTGAGATTTGTGAAGGCATTCGACCCAGGAATTCGTTTGTGAGCCCGAAGCCTTCTATCTCCAACCCGAATTGCACGTTGCCAAGTCGAGTACCAACCGCTTGAGCTTTGCTTGTCGGCAGTTGGTGTTGCGTCTTTCTGAAGCTACGACAACAGCGTCTAAAGTTCTAAAGTCTTCACTCTCACAGACTCATGGCAAGCCTTGCCTGATGCCTCCAAAAATGTCAAGTGTGTCCAGCTTAGGGTTCTAGACTGCCTGCAAAAGTGGATTTTATGTGACGGGTGCATTCACGAAGCTCGTGCTGTTATTCCCTTGACTTTTCAGGTTTGTGCACCCGTCTAGGCTTTAGGCACCAGTTCTAGACCTAAGATCATCTATGGCCAGCACCCTGAACCTGGACCCAAATCCAGGAAGTTTGATTCATGGGTTCTTGTCGCGTAGTCTGACGAGGGTAAGTAAGGACCGCAGTAGTTGCAACAAGTCAGGCGGGCAGCACCCATGCAGACTGTGAGCCCGAAACCATGAGCCCCGACATCAGGACAAAGCATCTAAAGCGTGGATCTCGAAGATGGTCTCTGAACTTTCCAGTGACTTGAAGCACACCTTCCACCATGGGCTACGTCGCGGCCCGGCGTGAAACATAGCCTGCCGAAGGTTTTCAGGGTTCGGTTGAAGCTTGCAGCATCTGGGATTCTTGCCATAAGGGTTTCAGGGTTTGGGTTTAGTTTTCTTGCTTCCGGGATCAGGACTTGGGGATTTCGGCATTAGCATTCTGGTCAGCCAAGCACTTCGTGGGGATGAACTGCCTTCCACATAATGACATCTGGCGTGGGTGATATTTTTGATAAGTCACACTTTGCTGAGTAGAGCTCGAAGTAGTCGATGCATGCAAAATTTCTGAAAAGAAACGGCAGTGGTTCCGACTTTCGTTTTTTCGGTAGTTGCCACCCAGTTGCCAGGATATCACGTGTGGCAAGACCACATCGAGAAGCAGCAGACCGATCTCCACGAGTCCATCACAGACATGCGACTCAGACCGCATCCCTGATAGCTGAGTAAGTGGCTTTGAATCTCTATGCTACTTCCACACGCGTTGTAGCAGCCTTTGAGCCTCTTTGTGTCCGTTCGCGGGCCAGGGATCTGGGCATACCCCTGCCACCGCACCCTGCCACCACCACGACCACTACAACTACCTGACTACCTACTGTACTACTACAATCACTGCTACTTGTCGGAGCTGATCCTAATACCCACATATTCCCCATAAAGTTTACGGTGAAAGTCATTGAGGCCCTAGCCTATGTTTGCATGGAACATCTGTACCCTCATTGGGGTCATGGCAATCACAACCCGAATCCTATCTCACATGCTTATTAGCCTTGCAAATTCCGTTGCAAACCCGTTTCGAGGCTTGTGAATCCTCTCGGGGGTTTAGGTAGAAGCCCTTGCAAAAGACAAGGCAAAATCTCGTCCAGCAGCACACGGGGCTCCTGCAGGGCATGGTGAGTGCCGTGGACAGACGCCCTGCAGCGCTTAGGGGTGCACCGTTTCGGGCCCAGTGGGGTTGGAAGTTCAGGGTTACCGTTGCGAGTTCGGGTGTACGTGCACGAAGTATCCGACTTGAGGGTTCAGGAGCTTCTTTGTACGCTCACCCCTTTGTAAGCCTTAAAAGCAACAGCCTCAACCATTGGTAGTTTAGAGTTTGAATCACCCAAGACCTGCAGCTGTAATTCCCGAACTTCGTGGACCTCTTGCAGTATATTTGGCTTGATAGATTGCGTTTTGACGCAATGTCTACAGTCTACGATTCGAAACGTGCAGAGCGCATAGCAACTGTTGTCGCACGGCTTTCGGAGAGGCGACGCAGCATGATGGTAGCCACCATGAAAGCCTGAAAGCCTTGCCGCACCCTCTAAACTCGTATAAAGCCTACTAAACCCAAGTTCCCAAACTAAGGAAACCATATTATTTACTATAGATCCCTATTATGGTAACTTGAATTTAGATTCCTTAACAACAACCCAGTGGAGCCCTTCTAGGAGCCTTAGAGAGGCTCTGAAAGGGAACCTTACGGAACAATTACACAACCCTTGCAGGACCTTGCTCATCCCCCCAAAAACCTTCGGAAACTTCAGGAAATGCCTTGGAACCTTTTGTAGAACCCTTTAAAGCCTCATGGCATCCTTCAGCAGATCCCTTCGAAGCCGAGTCCTCTTTGTAGCCCCTATGAGCCGCCTTATGAAGGCAGCATTCGAAGCCAAGGTCATTTCGACCCCTTTCAAGGTGCCCTTAAAGAACAACTACGCCAAAAGCATCAGAGCTCATAATACCCTATCGAGCTCTTGAAAGAAGGCCCTGATTGGGAAGTCTCTTTCCAAAGGAGCCCGGTAAACGCTGCAACCCTCAAGAAGCACTTTTACATGATCCCAGGCCTCCTAGAACACCCCCTAATCCATTAAAAAAACCCTAAACCCTTGAAAAAAAACAATTAACCCTTGCAAAGAGTCGTTTAGAGCCAAGCGAGGCCTTCTGGAACACGACGGGGTCGGCCAAGATGGCCTGGGACTCGCGGAGACCGCCGTGTCAAGCGCAGCGAGTTGAGCCAAGTGAGGGTTTGTAGGGCGTAAGGGTCTAAGAGCTTCGGGCAGCCAAGTAAGGTTGGGTGGCTTTCTACGGGTGATTCAGGTGATTCCGGTGCTTAAGGAGATTTTTGAACGGGGGTGGTTGTAAGAAGATGGTAATTCCGAATTTTTGTAGGCTCTTGCAGAATGTTTATAGAGTTATACAGTAGTTTGTAAACCGAGTGTATTTTGGCACGCTTGTTTTGTAATGCCTGGTAGTGCCTTTGGGGTTGCAAAACAAGGCTTCAAGGGTGTTAAAGGGTTTAACAAGGACTCCCAACGGCTCGTTGACTGGCGTTTGACGATGTCTCACCATATTTCGAGAAGCGGACAGGTTTTCAGAGCCCTCGTCCCTAAACCCTACCCCACATATCAGGCTTCGATTCTACGTTGGGCAGTCTACGGAGTTGGGTAGTTCTGGCATGCGACGTGGATGCTTAGCTGCTCCTCCAGGACCGTAAATGGTTGCAGGTTCGACGGCAGGCTAGTTACAGTCACGGCTTGCTTTCTAGGCGAAAACTGTTCAGGTTAATTGGTGTGCGAGTGGAAAGAGTAGCCACGAGCAGTCTCAGCATGGTGCGTGCGCAGGATGGAAAAACAACGGTACTTCCAGACAGCGTCAGTGCTCTGATACTTTATACACGGGCACCCTAAGACCCTAAAACCAAAACCCCTCAAAGCTATCTCAAGACCCTGGACCCCAAGCACCTCTCCCTAGACCCTAAACCGTAAACGCAAGTAAACGCCCTAAGCCTGAACCTACCCTGGCGTTTACATTTTACATGCCTTCTCGTGAGCTACTTACGAAGTCCCGTGAGCCTGGCAGTGCAATTGTGTTGTTGCATAGTCCGCCTGTTTCCGGTTTGTCTATGTAGGAGACTTGGGAAGAAAGAACGGCAACGTGCGTCGAAGCGCTTGCCATCCTCTCCCTTAGGCTTCAACTCGCCGGGTGTGCATGTCTCTCTCTCTCTCTCTCTCTCTCTCTCTCTCTCTCTCTCTCTCTCTCTCTCTCTATATATATACACACACATATATATATATATATATATATATGCAAATGCATATACATCAACAAGAAAATAGATATAGTACAAACATAATCATTGTAGATGTGTAACTTACTGTTTTTCTGTGTATGTATATACCAAGCCCTATAAACCGTATAAACACGATTGACCCTAATTATGAGCACTATAAGCCCGATTGACCCTACTTGCAAGCCCTATAAATCCTACAACCTAAATTATAAGCCCTAATAACCCTATAAACCACAAACCTATAAACCCTCTAAATCCTAAGGTTCCTAAACCCCTTCAAATCCTAAACCTCGACATGTGTCGCTTCTTCTCCGGGCAGGGATTCGCCAGCGACAAGCAAGGCGTGGTCGACACTGGAAGCAGTTTGGTAGTTTAGGGGTTTGGGGATTAGGGTTTGGGGAGAGAGACAGCGAGAGAGCGAGAGACAGAGAGAGAGAGAGAGAGAGACAGGGAGGGTTAGGGGTTTAGGGATAGGGTTGAACGAGTAGCCTTTGTCCGTTTTGGGCGTATGTGCATTGTATATCCCCACCATTATACAGTTGAAAGATTAAACAATCAAACTTCTCCGGGCCAAGCAGCTCAGCAGCTGTTGTAATGGCCAGGTCAAACTGTAGGGAGCGGAACCATTCGTAATGACATCCCCCAAATGCAATCCGTGCTAGACGATATTTTACACCACAAATGTCATTCGGGCTATACTAAACTCCACACAAGACCCTCATTTTGGTCGTACAGGAAAAGCAGGGGAGCCCTTGAAGGAAGCCTATGTTCTAATTCTACGGCTTCCACAAAGGTTCTATGCTCAGGATTTTAGTAGGGGTGTGCACGGTCTCACGATAGGTTCTTAATGTCTGCAAACAGTTCGGGTAAAGCAGTAATATAGCACAAGTAGATGACGTGATGACGAGTATGTTTTTACCAGGTCAAGCCCGTAGATCACATCACGGAAGTTGCCGGAACGAAGGGTGAGAGCTTTCGTTCCGTTGCCCGACATGGTTCGAACGCAGGCACTAGACGAAGAGCACAGCCTGAATGCCTGCAAAATTATGTTTCAACCCCATAACTATAGGGGCCTGAATAATTACCAATACTACTGTAGAGGTTCCTTATTTTAGTTTTAGTATACTGGGCCCCAAAACCCTAGGCCCTATTCTCATTATTAAGGCCCCCATATTATGCGGCTGCTTCGTTCAAATCGTTTGGCAGCCTGGCAAATTCACAGGGCGCCCACCCGCGCTGCCACAGCATAGAGTTGTCAATCTCACCTCAAAACTAGTCCCTGGAAAAAGATGAGTGCAGATGGTCCATGGCGCTTTCGGCACTACACCCACCGTGTATTCACAACAAACCTAACAGCACTTCGAAGTAGTCACAACCTCATGGAAAATTAGTTTTCGCGTTGAGATCCGATGACAGTCGTGTAAACTCCAAGAAGGAGTCCCGCAACCCAAAGCCCTAAACCCTGGTTAAGTTTTTGTCACAAGCCTCAGGAATACTCTGGGCGCGAGCTGGGTTCCTTCCTGTCACTGCTGGCGAAGGGAAACCCGAAGAATGCGCCTGGGCAGACAAGAGTGCTGGATCTTGCTTTCCTGCTGCAGGGATAATGTAAATACAAGTCCACACAGTTGCCGTCACTCCATTGCCCGTTGCTCGGTTCCTTGAAATCAATGCTTGATGTCATTTACACATAAGCCGTTAAAGCAACCTGACCACAGACCCTCCACTTGAAACTGTAAGCTGGAAGTCTGAAGCTCTGCCTGTACGCTTGTTCCTACCTTTCAGCCGCAGAAGGAAATCACAACAGGGAGCCCTAAATGTCCGTGTGCCTATATATAGTATGGTATATACTTCGGCCCTACGGTGTCTATATAGCTATTACTTTAAGGCCAAAGTATCTACTCTATGGGTCCAGGTAGGAGCCCTAAACCCTGAACCCCCAGAGCCCCTAAACCCTGAATCCTCACCGCTAGACCCCTAAACCCCCGGTGGTACCCTTATAGTCACCCTTAAAGGACCCCTTAAAGGAGCCCCTTGAAGGATCCTTTAAAGGAACCCGACAAGGGCCCTTAAAGGAGCCCTTAAAGGAACGGGGTCCCTTACAGGAGCCCTGAACCCCTGAGCCCTGAGAGTTTCAAGGTAGAGCTCCTCTTCTCCCGGAAGCCCTCCCACCGCAGCGACATTTGGCAGGTGCTCAGAGCCGGAAGAAGCTATTCTAGGGGCCTTAATAATTAGAACAGGGTTCCTTAACGGGATCTATAAGGGTTCTATAATATAGCGGGAATAATATTCAATTAGAGTGGTTAGAGGATGGGGTTTGGGGGGTATATTAGGCTATACTTATAGTAAGGAACCTCCAAAACAGTCTTGGTATTATTCTAGAGGTATGTCATGTAGGGTTTATGGGTTTGGGGTTGAGGATCCAGTGGTAGAAATGGTACGAAGAGTAAATATAATAGCCTATTAATAGCTTTATAAGAACAACGGTGACAGTTAAGATAGTACTACAATAACACCAATACAGCTAGCCGTAATAAGTAAGTATGAATATGCTTGTATGTGTTGCAGCTTTTGTTGTAGTTAGCCCCAAAGCCTCATCTTCAAATCACACCAGGAAACTTGACATGTCAGGACTTTGTGCTTGCAACTCGCTTTTCTTCATGGTCATGCTAGGCTTCGCGATAGCAGCGCTATGCCTGTTCATGTGGTGGCTTATCTATTCAAAAGGAACGCCTTCAAGAAGGCGTGTACCTTACCCGAAACTCCAATGCCGACCCTTTCAACAGGTTTACCCTGCATTCCTGAAGCCTCGATTCTCCCAGCATCTCGGGCTTAGACTTCACAGGCTTTAATGGTAAGAGCCTTAGAGTTTCGGGTTTGAGGGCTGAGCATTTTAGGGTCTTTTCGGGTTGGGGCGAAGCCCGTAGACGCTCAAACTCTCAGCCCTATCTGAAGTGGAAAGCCGAATGAACAGGAATTGTATCACCTTTTTGTTCCATTGTACTGTCTAGTTTAACATACCCCACAACACGGTTCGAATGGTTGAGGCCCGTTTATCACGATAAAATGTTTGATACACGTTGGGCAAGTATGTGATGCGCTACTGAGGAACTGAAGCTGATAAGCTACCAGTAGCACGTAGTATTCTTTACAAGTCATGGTTCAGGGGTTATAGGGCATCCTTCAGCTGCTTTTCCCTGTAATGCGGGCAGAGTCCTGGCCAGGAAGTAAAAGGGGGAGTCTACAAAAAAGCGAACCGTAAAACCCAAGCAAATTAGCCAGATCCTGAACCCTTCCTGCGGTTTAGGGTTTAGTTGGACAACGAGGCCTGCTGCAAAAGGGTTTAGAGCTAAGAAGCCCCAACCCCTACAGAAGGGACAATAAACGACATCCTGCCAAACAAGAGGAGCTCGTGGCTGTGCGAGCTTGCTTCCTGACGATCCGCTGTGCCCCTGGGCTGTGCCGGGAGCGTGTTTATTGGGCTCGGTTCTATAAACACCTTCACACAAGGCCCCCGTCGTCAGCTTGTAATGCCGATTTGCGCTGCAAAGAAGATTGCAGCGGTCCACACAATTTGCCAGCTTTAAAGTAAAAGCCAGAAAGTTGGAATATGATTCTCCTAAGCCCTTTATGGTAAATTACAAGGTATCCTACCCTGAAACCATATTCCAACTTTCTGGAGTTCCCTTTAGTCTGTAGGGATGAGCTAGGAGGCTCTACACACTGGGGTCCGAATGCTTTGATGTGGCTGTGGAGGCCTTGCTGATTTAGGATTCAGGAGTTTAGGGTTTAGTCTTTAGGGATCTTGGGATTGTGCTCTAGGGTTTTGTCAATTTCGGAAGGAAGTCTTCAACATCCAGAGTAGTGGCAGCCCCACAAGCGCGTACTTCTGTTTTAAGTCACCTTCAGCTCGTGTCTGGATGCCGCCTCGTGATCCACCTCTACA